TGATCAAACATGAAAATTTATATTAGTTGTCAAAAAATCACCTAGCTGTTTCTTCTTCATCTTAGAATATCCAGTTATTTCCATTAACTTGAAAAGCTTGGAAAAAAAGTTTAAGTTGTCAGGTAATATCTTCAGCCAAGATAAGATAAAGATTGAAAACTTTCTGAGGATTTTAGCATAAGGACTTCGTCTAATTCAATGAGCTTTAGTGTTCATACTTGAGACACTACAGCTTAGAGGAAATAGTGTGAAGCTGCTTTTACAGATAGACTGATTGATAGGGATTCCCATCTGCTTTAAAATAAGACTGTGCTTAAGTGGCTCTTTGAATTCAAAGTTAGTGATATTCCTTGAGAAACATTTCATTTTTCATGGGAGTGATCACTCCTGCCCACATCTGTAGCACCGTCGAAGGAGCTGTTTATGTTATTCCTACCCAGTGTGGCACAGACATAGCAGCACTAAATTAGAGCTCGGTTTGGTTCCTGTTGAAGGGAGAAGGAGTTTTGACATGGACTTTCTGGACAGCAGGCTCAAGCTATATATCTAAGCCAGTTTCAGAAAACGTCATGTTGCTCAGCGTCGAAGAGATAGTGTTTCTGGGATCATCTTTCATCTATGGCTCAGTCCCAATGTCCTTACAAAGCTAAAATTTACGTTTAGTGTACCGGAGATTTGTCTGTAAAGTGGCAAGGCTGGCCACACGGTTACTTTTCTGAATAGGGCAAACAGGCCAAAAGCATAGGCTTTGTAACTAAAAGCTGAGTAGGAAGAATCTGTAGTAAATATGACTGGTTCAAAAGCAATTGCTTCCAAGAACAAAAGGGACAAATGAACAATTTCATTCCAATTTTGCAAGTGCTCTTTTCTCTCTGGAGTGTGAACCATAATTAGAGCACTTATACAAAATCACATTTGTCAGCCTGGCTGCTAAATTCCCATTAAAGCTTTATCCACAAAGAGCAGTCTGTTATCACGCTCACTGCAGCCTACCGTTCTCATTTTCACTTTCAGGGACAGACAAGCAATTACTTTATCTGTATTGAAAATCTCGTGTAAATGGAACTGCAGTGAAGCTAGGTAAAGTCAGATCTGCACACAGGCAGTTTCCAAACTTCACGACCAGCCAGCAAAGACCTGTCTCGGTTCCGGCAGGAGCTATATGAAAAGCTGTTACCAGAAGACAGTGACGGTATGTCCTGAAGCTGACATTTGTCCCACAGTCAGGCCAATGTTGTAAGGAATGCTCCATAAGCTGTGAAATACCGTTGTCTGTACCTGTCTGCCAGGAAGGTATCTATCCTAATGACCGAGAGAAAAATTTCCATTGTAAGACCAGAAGGGACCCCAGGGACCAGAGACCAGCCCTCTCTAGAGAGGATGAATCTCAAGCACCAGTGGCTCTGGTGCCATAAGGTCTGATGGGGCCCAGCCACCAAGGGATCTCTTTTCCCCAACTTTCTCCGAGTGCTTTGAAGGTGTTGCATCCTCCCATAACTGATGAGGGGAAGGTGCCGTTGACAGACATAGCTCTTGCCAAATCCCACTCAGCCCTGACAGACAGATCTTGACAGCATTAAACAAATTCAGAGAGAGAAACTCCATCTTTCTCAACCTCATATTGTCCCTGAAGAGCAGTAGTGAAGCTACTGCACCTCACAGATACTTCTCTCTTTGGAGATTAATGGTGCTTCGAGGCTATGATGCCACTGCTCCACATGCCTCTGCAGATCTGCAAGCACGCCTGGGCAGACACCCACCAGAGTGTACATGTCTAATAGGCTTGGATGCACTAGGGACCTCTGAACATGAAAAGAGGAAGAGAAGAGTTGATTGTCATAAATAAATGTTGATGTAGTTATGTACCATTAGGCTATGTGGCTGTTGAGGCTTTTAGTAATAAAGATAGGAAGTCGTACACTTAAACAAGTGCAATGGTTCCTCAGGAGGTGATGAAGGCTGCATAAATGCCTTGGCAGATTAGTTATCAACTGGCTTTAAAATGTCATATAGTGACTATAGTACCTATCACAAATCCAGGTGCCTTACATCTGGGTTTGTGTGATAATCTATACTGTCTACCCTCTGCCATCCGGTCTCAATGCTCTCACCTAAAGGAAAACGTCTGAGCATACACAGAAGCAACCCCATCCTAGGACCAGCTGTGTCCCTGTCTTGCCTGAGTTTCAGTGCACTTCCAGCAGCCTTGAGTTCATAGAGAAGCAGTGATTCTGCGCTCTAGCCTGCATGCCGGCAAATTCTCTCTCAGCTATTTCTCTCATCTGAGAAAAGAGCACTTAAACATGAAATGGAGGACACCAGGTTCACGGGGCCCCTTTCAGTCTGTTGCGCCTATGCCACTGTGCTGCTGGCAACGCAGAATTCGACTTTCATCCAGTGGTAGCATAACACGTTATAACACGGTTCAGGGAAAAGTCCTCAGGATGTCCCGACTGGTGCCTGCACCTCAGCACCCAGCAGACGGGCTGGGTTTGGTCTTCCCAGCGCTTGAGCTCCTGCTCGGCTGCGCTGTCCCGCGGCTCCCCCAGAGAGGACGCCCTCCACCACCACCTTCCTCCCGCTGGGAGGACAGGGTGCTCTCCCAGCATAGCAGGGCGGTCCCCGGAGCCCGGGCATTAAGTGAGACCCCAGGTCTTGCATTTCGGCTAAGCCTCTACCGTGCAAAGGGAGCGGGACTCTAGAGCCTGCAGCCCGAACGTATGGATGTGCCTACAGCGCAGGTGAAGGTTCAGACGGGCAGGACTCCCGGCACCTCTTCGCGTGTTGTTTTCTGTTGACGGGCTCTGGGCGGCATCGTGGCCAGCACGCAAGCTGTTAGTGCTCCTCGTCAGCTCTACTTCGGAAGCTTCTACTTCAGCTTCTCCAGAAGCTCTGCCTGTTTCTGGAGCCTTAGCCCACAGCTTGTGCGGATCCCTCTGAAGAGCTGTATGTCAAACCTGTGTGTGACACAGTGACTGGCAGCGTCAAGCGCAGGCCGTCTGCATCTTGCCT